AATAAAAAATTAAAAAAAAAAAGTAATGTAGCAGTAATTTATCTACTGCCATTTTCATTTGATACACAGCAAAACAAACAACAAAACACCAACAAAAACAAAAATCAAGCTTAGTAGAATAATGTGGGAACAAAGAACTTACAGTCATGGAGTATGGACCTGTAAATACTGGTCAAGAACTATAGAAAGGGGACTTTTTGGACATCTGCTCAACTAATTTGTACTAAAAAGAACAGAAGCAAAGCTTGTCAGAATTATGTTTAGGCACAGAGCAGATACTGAGTGTGCTGTTATGGTCTTTTGGTCAGGAACTTCATGGTCTTTTGCAACAACGGCTTCAACTGACTTGTGCTTAGGGAAATCAAACAGAACAAGCAAACATGATAGAGCTGTGTGTGCATGAAGAGCCTGTAGACCTTGAGTGAGAACTTCATAATGGTCATGATGACAGTAATGCATCACTGTGACACCATTATAATTATTCACATACGGGTTTTTTTGGTCTTTTTTTCTCAACTTTGTCTGGTTTAAGGGAGGTTGCCAGGCCAGTGACACCTGATGAATGGGTGTTTTGCAGTTTCTTTCAGGAGGTAGAATACTGGTGAAGACAAAGTCCATGATGTGGGGAGGTGTCTCAGTCCGCTATCTGTTAGTTTTAACACAATCCTTAAAACTGGGTAATTGATAAAGAAAAGGAATTTATTTCTTATAGTTATGGAGGTTGAGAAGTACAAGGTTGAGGGGCCACATCTTGTGAGGGCCTTATTGCTGGTGGGGTCTCCCTGCAAAATCCTGAGGTGGCACAGGGTAGCACATGGAGAAGGATTTGTGTGTACTTGTTCCTCTCCTTATAAAGCCATTAGTACTATTCCCATGACAACCCATTAATCCATTAACCATTTCATTAATCCATCAGTAGATTAATTCATCCATGAGGGCAGAGCTTTCATAATCCAATCATGTCCTAATGGCCCCCACCTCTCAATACTGCCTCATAGAGGATTAAGTTTCCATATGAGTTTTGGAGGGGACATTAAAACCATAGACAAAGATTCAATGATCCAGGCTGCAGTTTTATGAGGATTATGTCTCTAATTAATAGGGTTCTGAGGATATGAGTAGAAATGGTATCTTTATTTCCAGGCAAATATCTAATTGGTCCTTGGAGCTGAGGAAAGATCAATCAATTTTCAGGTTTTCAGATCTTATATTGATTTCTGTACTGCAAAGTCATTCTTTGGAATCAAAAACCCTAGAGGATCTTAAAAGGCCCTTTCGAAACCCCTTAGACCTGGCACCAGTTGTCTTAGGCATGCTTTTAAGCAGTAGTGAAACATGCTTAAGCAATCGATGCCTAATTTCTCTTCTGCACCAACAAGTATTATTTACAGATAACCTCCAGTTAAATGAGAATGTGGTGAGCAGGCTGCCTGAGGAGTCCAAGGACTGAGCAAAGACCACAGGTTAGCGAATGATTCTTCCTTTTTCCCTCCTTTGCCTTGTGGCAAGCCTGGCAATGACTTGATCCTTTTGTCTTTGTCTCAGAATTTCAAGATTTATTGCCCAAAAGACTGCTCCTTTTTCCTTTCTGTAGGAAGATAGAGATTCCAGATTCCTGCAGGTCATAAAGCAGGATAAGGAGAGGCTGTAGAGAAAGCTTATTTTTACTTCTGTCATGTATATTTAACAGGAAATATCTCCACAAGCCCTCTGGCTTTTATGCTCCTTCTCTGAGGTCCTACCATGTATGGGGTAAAGTTAGATCATATGCAGTTGCTAGATCATATAGAGATCATGTTAGGAAAGTTGTTCTAGTGATTTGACCTCGGTTTATATGTTTTACAAATAATTACATGTAATTAAAATGGCTGTGAGGCCCATTCCAGTCTTATACTTTTAGTTTATTTAAATGCAGAGGGAGTGAGGGAGGTGAATATAGAATAATAGAGAACAAAGGAAGGACATTATGTGACAGCAATTAGATTTACTGGGGGGTTAGTTGAGAAGTACTAGTGATGATTATTTTATTATATTTTGGTGGTGAATGTCTGCTCGAATTCCTGATAAGCACTTTTAGAAGAAGCAGTGTTCAAGAAAGCTTCTTTCAGGGGGTTCTTGTTCAAGATGGCTGACAGAAGCAGCTAGTGGGTGCACTGCTTTCACTGAGAGGAAACAAAATGGTAAGTAAATACTAGCTCTTTAACTAGGTTGTACAGGAGATCACACTAGGATTTACCAAGAAAGCAACTGGACCCACGGAGAACAGCAAATGTGTTCCACCTTGGGTACGTACAGTTGGGTGTTGGCTGCGGTGGTGTCAGCTGGTTGGGTTAACCTGACCTCAGTCCATGGGGGAAGTGGTCAGGTGCCAGCAGAATTTGTAATATACTAGGAAGATATTACTGTTAATATCACTGTGGGTGTACACCCTATGATATTAGAAGAAATATTCTAGAGAGCTATTACTCCTAATGTCACAGTAAGTGTACACCCTGTGATATTATTCATCATATCCTAGGGGAATGTTTTACAACTAATGTCACAGGTGGTATACATCCTGTGATATTATTTGTAATACCCTAGGGAATATTACTCCCAGTGTCACAGGGGGTGGTCACGCTGAAATATTATTGATAATATCCTAGGGGTATGTTACTCCTACTATCACAGGAGGTGTACACCCTGTGATATTATTCATAATATTTTAGGAGGATGTTATTTCTAACGTCACAAGTGGTGTATACCTGTGATATCATTCGTAATATCCTAGGGGGGTATTAATCCTAATGTCACTGGAGGTGTACACCCAGTGGGTGATATTATTCGTAATATTCTAGGAAAATGTTATTCCTAATGTCAAAATGGGTGCACACTCTGTGATATTATTCATGATATCCTAAAGAGATGTTACTCCTAATTTTACAGGGTATGTACACACTGTGATATTATTCTTAATATCCTAGGGAGATTTTACGCACAATGTCACACAGGGAGTACACCCTGTAAAATCCTAGGGAGATGTTACTCCTAATGTCACAGGGGAGGTATAGCCTATGATATTATTCATAATATCCTAGGGGGATGTTACTCCTAATGACACAGGAAATGTACACTCTGTGATATTATTTGTAATATCTTAAAAGGATGTTACTTTTAATGTCATAGATAGTATACACCCTGTGATATTATTGATAATATTCTAGTGGGAAGTTACTCCTAATGTCACAGGTGTGTACATCCTGTGATATTATTCACAATATACTAGCAGGATATCACTACTAATGTCACAATGTGTGTATGCATTGTGATATAATTCATAATATCATGGGGGATGTATTCCTAATGTCACAGGAGGTGCACACCATGTGTTCAAGAAAGCCATGTGTACCATGTGTGTACACTGCCTGTGACATTATTCGTAATATCCTAGGGGGATGTTTCTTTTAATGTCACAAAGGGTGTACAAAATGTCACAGAAGGTGTACGCCTTGTGATGTTATTCATAATATACTAGAAGGATGTTACTCCTAATGTCATGGGATGTACACTCTTTGTTATTATTTGTAATCTCCTAGGGAGATATTGTTTCAAATATCACAGTGAGTGTACACACCTGGTGTGATATTATTCGTAATATCCTAGGGAGATACAATTCCTAATACCACAGTGTGTGTACCCCATGTGTGTACACTCTGTGATAGTATTTTTTTTATATCCTAGGGAGGAGATATTACTCTTAATATCACAGTGTGTGTTAACCCTGTGATATTATTCGTATTTCACCTTGCTGCCTTTTTTAACCCACATTACAAAAGGAATGGAACAGATAACAAGATACTGAGATTAGACTGTTCTGCCTTGTGGCCACCGCAGGACACTTTTAATATCCCTGTTTCTCAGGCTGTAGAAGGGGTTTAGCATGGGGGTGACCACCGTGTATATCACTGAGGCCACTGCACCCTTTCTGGGGGAAGATGACACATCTGAATTGAGGTACCCTCCAATGCCTGTTCCATAAAATAAGCACACAACTGACAGGTGAGACCCACAGGTGGAGAAGGCTTTATAGTTCCCACCTGATGATGAAACCCTCAGAATGGAGGAAACAATTTTATAGTAAGATAAAAGGATCCCCAAGGTGGGAAGAAAACCAAATACAGCAGCAGGGAAATACATGACTATGTTATTAGTGAACGTGTCACAACATGCAAGGTGGGGGAACTGAGAAGGGTCACAGAAGAAATCAGGAATTTCCACATCCTTGAAGCAGGTAATTTGTAAGGCAACCAAATTGTACAGCTGGGAGTCTAAAAGACTGAGAAAAAAAGACAACAGAACTAGGAAGCCACAGAAACACCGGTTCATGATGACTGAATAATATAGAGGGTGACAGATGGCTACAAACCAGTCTTACAGCCATCACACTCAGGAGCATGTCTTTCTTCCATGCCTCCAAAAACGGCAAAAAAAGACATCTGGGTCAGGGAGCCGGCATAGGAGATGACTCTGCTGTGAGGTTGGATGTTCACAAACATCTTGGGGACTGTGGTGGGGGTGAAACTGATGTCAGGCAAGGACAGGTTGGAGAGGAAGAAGTACATGGGGGTGTAGAGGTGGGAGTCAGGGCTGACAGCCAGGATGATGAGCAGGTTCCCCAGCACCGTGATGAGGCACATGGACAGGAACAGCCCAGCGAGGACTGGATGCAGTTCTGGATCCTCTGAGAGTTCTAGGAGGAGGACTACTGAGACATCTGTTAGATTCTGTGGGTCTGTATAGTTTGGACACCTTTTGCGTAGAAAAGAGAGTTGAAAAATCAGAAACAAGTAAACCAACACCCAGCACTGTGTCTGCATTTCGGATATAAGCAATTCACAAGTAATATTTTCAGATTTCAGAGCAATCCACACTCAGCAATATTTTGCAGTTGTGACAAACTCAATTGCCTTATAATGCGTTCATGATTGATTTTTGTGTTATTCACTTCTTGCTGTACACACCTGCCTTAGAAACACTAGATTCAAGAATGTTCCGAGAACCAGATCATCATATACAACAAATTCGTAATTGCTAGAAAATACAGCCTATCTTTTCAGAAGAAAAATATGTAATAAAAACATTCTCTTCACTTTAAGAAAAAGTTTATCCTAATTAAAGGAAATTAAGAACTCAAATATTTTATTTTATTCTAATAGATTGCCACAAATTCCCTTGATTTAGAACATTTATAAACACTGTATAACAGCTAAGACCATGCCATCTGGAAATGAAATTAAAGTTGACAATTCATAATCAGAAAATATTTCCATATGCCAGTTATGTTCTAGAGATTTCAACATTATGTTTTCTGACTTTTCTCCCTCAAGGGAGTAATTGCTTACTCAAATAGGTGTGGCTTGTTTTAAAATTCATGTAAGACTCCTGTCCTTAGCTTAGGTGTCTGGACTTAGACTGCCTGGTTCAAATGGGACTTCACCCTTTTCGACTTCATGATCTGGTACAAGTTATATGAAAATGCATTGCTTCTTTTCTAGTCTGTAAAATAATAATGAAATGTGCACTAATAACTGGGAGAAGACTACAAGGATGAAATGAAAGAAGCTGCATAGACCACAGAGCTCAGAGCCTGGCATTTAGGAAGCCTTCAGTAAGGGTTCGTGATGCCATGGTGTCTGTCATCATCCTCTTTATCCTCATCATCACCTTCATAATCTTTATGTTGTGCTTAGGGAATAGTTTAGAGGGACTCATTTCCTGCTATCATGGGTGAGATGTCCATGAAAGGGACAACCAGTGTGGGAGGAAAGCAAAATTTTGAATAAGATTTCTGAGACCCCCACCACAACCAAGAACAGAAACTCCACAGTCCGCTGAGCTGACAGTTTGCACACTGGTCTCTTCCCATCTGCCCACCGCACTCCCCTGTTTGTCCTGAGGACGAGGAAACAAAACAAGGCTCCCCAGCATCCCTCAGCACTCACTGAACTGCGCTTCCCCTCTGCCGGGCCACGACCACGGAGAACCGGTCCACTGTCTTCCCTGCGTGGTGCACGATGGAGGCTCAGACTCCGTCCTCAAGCCGGGCAAGAAGACAGGGTCAGACATGAGCCTCCTGATGCAGGTGACAGGTGTGGAGCCCACCTGACTGGAACCTCACACTGCAGGGCTGGAGGTGCAGACTGAGTATTTATTATTCCATGGCCTCGGGGGCTCAAGGCACAGAGCTCTTCATTAGCCAAATTCACCGAAGTTCGCCCATCTCTAACGATTTCCTCATAATAATGCAGCAAGAAGAGGAGAAAAATGAGTGTCCATTTTTGGGCTCTTCCTCTAATCAGCAGAAATCCTGTGTGTATTATTCGCTTCTTTCTTTTCTTTTTAAAGATTCAATTGCTTTAATTTTCATATTTTATTATGGTAAAACATACCACATTGAAATATTAAAAATTTTAAATAAATATTATTTCATGTAGAATGGCCAGTATAAACATTTACAATTTCCACTATTTTTAAGTTTACAGTTTAATGACGTTAAGTACATTCACATTGTTTAGCAACCATCACCTCCCTCATCTCCAGAACATTTTTATCTTTCAAAATGGAAATTGTACCCATATTATAAACTCTCCATTCCTCTCTCTCACCCACCCCAGGGGGCCACCATTCTATTTTGCAATTCTATGAGTTTAACTACTCTAGAGTCTTGATGTAAGTGGAATCATACCATGTTTAATTTTTTTTTTTTTTTTTTTTGAGACAAAGCCCAGGTTGGAGTATAGTGGCACGATCTCGGCTCACTGCAACTTCCACATCCTGGGTTCAAATAATTCTTTTTTTTTTTTTTTTTTGAGACAGGGTCTCGCTCTGTCGCCCAGGCTGGAGTGCAGTGGCGCGATCTCGGCTCACTGCAAGCTCCACCTCCTGGGTTTACGCCATTCTCCTGCCTCAGCCTCCCGAGTAGCTGGGACTACAGGCGCCCACCACCTCGCCCAGCTAGGTTTTTGTATTTTTTAGTAGAGACGAGGTTTCACCGTGTTAGCCAGGATGGTCTCGAACTCCTGACCTCGTGATCCGCCCATCTCGGCCTCCCAAAGTGCTGGGATTACAGGCTTGAGCCACCGTGCCCGGCCTGGTTCAAATAATTCTTGTGTCTCAGTCTACTGAGTAGCTGGGATTAGAAGCGTGTGCCACCATGCCCAACTAATTCTATCATTTTTAGTAGAGATGAGCTTTCGCCGTTTTGGCCAGGCTGGTTTCATACTCCTGACCTCAGGTGATCCGCCCACCTTGGCCTCCCAGGATGCTGGGATTACAGGCGTGAGCCACCTCACTGGCCAGAAGTGCCTTCCTTTTTAAGGCTGAATTCCATTGTATGAATGAGCTGCAGTGTGCTTTTTCATTCATCTGTCCATGGACCATTGGGTTGCTTCCACATTTTGGCTGCTGTGAATAACGCTGCTATGAATATGGGTGTACAAATATCTCTTCCACTCCTGGCTTCTAATTCTTTTTGGTAGGTACCCACAAATGCAACTGCAGGATCATCTGATAATTCTGTTTCTAATTTTTCAAGTACACTCCATACTATTTTCCCTGTTCCTGCAGTTTTACATTCCCTCTGATCATGTTGGAGCATTCCTACTTCCCTCTAATTTTCACCATTGCTTGTTTGTTTATCATATTCATCCTAATGTGTGCTATCACATTTTTTATTTGATTTGCACTTCCCTATGATTAGTGATTTTGAATATCATTTTATATGGTTATTTGCCATTGGTATATCTTCCCTAGGGAGATGTCTACTCAAGTCTTCTGATCATTGTTAATGGGATGCCTTGGGTTTCTTGTTGTTTAGTTCTAGCGGTTCTTTGCATATTACAGATATCAGCCTCTTTTCAAATATATGATTTGCAAATATTTTTCCTAATCCATGGGTTATTTTTTCACTCAGTTCATAGCGTTTTTTGATGCACAAAAGTGTTTCTCATTTAGCTGTAATCCAAGGAATCTAATTTTCTTTTGTTGCCTATGCTTTTGGTGTCATATCCCAGACAGCATTGCCCACTCTGATGTCATAAAGGTTTTGCCAGCATTTTCTTTTAGGCATATTATAGTTTTAGCTCTTGGGGTTAGGTCTTTTATTCGGTTTGTGTTAGTTTTTGCATCTGGTGTGACATATGGTCCATCTTCATTTCTCTGCATGTGGAAATCAAGTTTCTCCAACACCATTTGTTGAAAAGGCTGCATTTCCACCAATGAACTTTCTTGGCACTCATGTTAAAAACCATTTGAACATATATGTGAGAAGTAATTTCTGGGATCAAGAACAAACAAACAACAACAGACAACAGGTAAAGATGTAGCATGGGTTGGGTGTGGGTGCTCACGCCTGTAATCCTAACATTTTGGGAGGCTGAGGTGGGTGGGTCACCTGAGGTTGGGAGTTCAAGACCAGCCTGACCAACAGGGAGAAACCCCGTCTCTACTAAAAATAAAAGTTAGGTGGGCATGGTGGTGTGTAATCTCAGCTACTAGGGAGGCTGAGGCAGGAGCATTGCTTGAACCCAGGAGGCGGAGTTTGTGGTGAGCCGAGATCATGCCATTGCACTCCAACCTGGGCAACAAGAATGAAACTCCTTCTCAATAAATAAATTTAAAAAAATACAGGATGATTTCAAGAGCTCCAATCTAGCCTAAAAAAGAAGAGTATAGAAGGGTGTAATTGGAGGAGAAAGAGAATAACTTAAAAACCATCATAATGAGGAAGTTAGGAAGCTTCTTTCCAAGCCATCTGGAAATACACAAGAGGTTTTTGTGAATTAAAATTTCCATACTGTACTATCAAACACTAGAACTTATTTGTTCCATCTTTCTGTTTTGTACCCAATTATCAACTTCTCTTCATTCCCTATCCCACCCTTTTTCTTTCTAGCCTCTGCTAACCACCTTTATAATCTCCACCTTCATGAGACTCCTTTTGTGTGTATGTGGTTGTTGGAGTCTCGTTCTGTTGCCCGGGTTGGAGTATAGAGGCAAGATCTTGACTCACTGCAACCTCTGCCTTTTAGATTCAAGCAATTCTCCAGCCTCAGCCTCCCAAGTAGCTGGGACTACAGGCATGCACAACCATGCCCGGGTAATTTTTGTATTTTTAGTAGAGATGTGGTTTCACCATGTTTGCCAGGCTGGTCTCAAACTTGTGGCCTCAAGTGATCCATCTGACTTGGCTTCCCAAAGTGCTGGGATTACAGGGCATGAGCCACCACACCTGGTCAAGGTTTTCTTTTTTGTTCCTACATATAAGTGAGGACATGTAACATTTGTCATTCTGCTCCTGGCTTATTTCGTTTACTATACTGACCTGCAATCTCATCCATTTTTGTGGCAGTGGAGAGGATTTTATTCCTTTTAGTTTGAACAATGCTTTATTGTGTGTGTATACCATAGTTTCTTAATTGAAACAAACTTATTAAAGACAAATATTTTAAAAATGTTTCAGAATGAGAAACTTTAGGGATACTGTGACCATTTTATTCTTTTCTATTTCCCATTTTAGATATGTACAAGTGTGAAGTAAAGCAGCAATCAATGTGTGTATAAATCTGTAACTTCAACAAATGTAAAATGAAAATGCTAAGTGGTAAGAAAAAACAGCATAATAAAAATTTTTTATAGTGTTGAAGTACAATGCATTTGAAGATAACATTTGAAGAAATTATATTAAAATTAAGTTTTATTCTTACTCATCAGAGCTTGATCCCCCCAGGAACTTCATCATTGGAACCATCTCTTTTGCTTAAAAAAAAAAAAAAAAAATCTGCATACCCACACAGGTGCAAGTAAATCAGAATCTTAAATAATGAGACTCAGGCCTCCTCATTTGTAAGCTACCCAGGTGATTTCAGTCAAAGCCAAGATTGAGGAGCGGTGATATGGATCTCTACACATAACCTGCCTAAATAGATTCCCTAGAAGCAGTTTATAAAGGAATTCCACATGAACTGTGGGAAAGGATGTGAATTTGATGTATACGGTATTCCTTACTTAACATTTTTGATAGGCTCTTGAAAACTGCACGTTTAAGCAAAATTATGTAGAGTGAAGCCAATGTATTCCTCATCAACATTAGAACTAGACAACTTTGAACAAACCAATGGTATTGGAGGACCTGCTGTACATTGTTTCCAGAAAGTCAATTTTCAGGGAATTACAAAATGAAGTGAGGACTTCCTGTATATAAAAAGATGGTTGTTATTCCACCTGGACAACAGGGTTATTGCTCAGAAACTAAAGGAGGCCACCTAGGTATAGAGGATTCAGTCATGAGGTTTATGCTAAACAAAGGATCCCAGAATACTCACCCATTCCAGTTAAAGGCATAACAAAGAAAGCAATATTCACATAGGAAATGTGGAAAGGAATAAAAGCCATCAAGCAACAAAAATAATGTGAGGAAGGGGGCAGGATTTGCAGATGTAGAGACTTAATGTGGTTGCCCTTTCTAACCCACACAAGAAAAAGGACAGAACAGATCATGAGATTAGACTGTTCTGCTCCGCAGCCTCCACAGGGCACTTTGAATGCCCCTGTTTCTCAGTCTGCAGATGAAGGGGTTCAGCATGGGGGTGACCACAGTGTACAACACTGATGCTACCACACCATTCCTGGGGGATAGTGACACAGCTGAAGTCAGGGACACGCCAGTGCCTGTTCCATAAAATAAGCAAACAATTGCCAGGTGAGAGCCACAGGTGGAGAAGGCTTTATACTTCCCGTCTGACGATGGAATTCTTAGAGTGGAGGGGACAATTTCATAGTAAGACAAAAGGATCCCTGAAATGAGAAGAAAACCAAATATAGTACTATCTAAATGTATGAATATGTTATTGATGACACAGTCAGAACAGGCAAGGTTGAGAAGTTCAGATCGGTCACAGAAAAAAATCAGAGATTTCCACATTCTTGAAGCAGGTGAATCGTAACAATCCAACTGTGCAGCTGGGAATCCAACACGCTGATGAAAAAGACACCAAAACTAAGAAGACACAGAAGTGAGGATTCATGATGACTGGGTAGTGCAGGGGATGACAGATGGCCACAAATCAGTTATAGGCCATCACAGTCAGGAGTATGTCATCTATACATGCAAAAAGGACAAAGAAAGACATCTGTGCCAGGCAGTCCGCATGGGAGATGACTCTGCTATGCGATTGCATGTCCACAATCATCTTGGGGACCATGGCCAAGGTGAAACTGATGTCAGGCAAGGACAAGTTGGAGAGGAAGAAGTACATGGGGGTGTGGAGGTGGGAGTCAGGGCTGACGGCCAGGATGATGAACAGGTTCCCCAGCACCGCGACCAGGCACATGGACAGGAACAGCCCAGCGAGGACTGGATGCAATTCTGGATCCTCTGAGAGTCCCAGGAGAAGGAATTCTGAGACACCTGTGAGATTCTGTGGTTCTGTGTGACTTGGACACCTTGAGAAGAAAAAAGGATTGGAAAAACAAAAGATAAAAACCAGCACTTAATGCCGTGTGTATATTTTGGATACAAGCAATTCACGAGGAACATTTTCACACTTGAGGATCATACACCCTCAGCAATATTTCTCAGTTGTGACAAACCCAAAAATCTCAGAATTACATGATTTACTTTTTTGCTATTCAAGTCTTTCTGTGCATACATACTTTAGAGAAAATCCACTGGAGAATGTTAGAAGACCAAAACATAATATGTAACAAATCCAAGATCTCAGTAAAATATGGCCTACTCTTCTCAGAAAAAAAAAAGAAAAATGTTCTTCTCTCTCTAAGAAAACAAACTCAGTCTAATTTAAAAATGAAGAAGCAGTGAAATACACTTGATTTTATTCTGACACTGCTACAAATTCCTTTGATGTAGAATTCCTTTGATGTAGAATATTTATAAGCACTATACAAGAGCTAGGATCACATTATCTAAAAATGAAATCGAACCTTATAGTTCTTAATCAAAAGACCTTTTTACATGCCAGTTACTTTTCATATTTATTATCATCCTTAGGTTTTCTGACATAATTTCTTCATAAAAGTAAATGCATACTGAAATATGGCAACCATGTTTCCAAATTTATTTAATATATAACTCTTTGCCGAGCACATTTGCTCACACCTGTAATCCTAGCACTTTGGAAGGCCGAGGCTGGTGGATCACCTGAGGTCAACAGTTTCAGACCAGCCTGACCAGCACTGTGATATCCCATCTCTACTGAAAATACAAAATTAGCCAGGCGTGGTGGTGGGCACCTGTAATCCCAGCCACTTGGGAGGCGGAAGCAGAGAATCCCTTAGAACCCGTGATGCAGAGGTTGTACACCCTGTGATATTATTTTTGATATCCTAGGGAAATATTGCTTCTAATGTCATAGTGGGCATACACCCTGTGATATTATTTGTAATATCCTACAAAGATATTACTCCTAATATCACAGTGGGTGTACACCCTGTGATATTATTCCTAATACTTTACAGAGATATTACTCCTGATATTACAGTGAGTGTACACCATGTTTGTACACTCTGTGATATCATTCATAATAACCTAAAAAATTTACTGTTAATATCACAGTGGGTGTACACCCTGTGATATTATTTGTAATACCCTAGGTAGATATTACTCCTAATATCACAGTGGACATATACCATGTGTGCACATCCTTTGAAATTATTTGTAATATCCTAGGAAGATATTGCTCCTAATATCACAGTGGGTGTACATCCTGTGATATTATTCATAATAACCAAGGGAATTATTACTCCTAATATCACAGTGGGCGTATACTCCATGATATTATTCGTAATATCCTAGAGAAATATTGCTCCCAATATCACAGTGAATGTACACCCTTTTATATGAAAAGTAATATTCTAGGAAGATATTACTTCTAATATCATAGTGAGTGTACACCCTGTGATATTATTTGTAATATCCTAGGGAGATATTACTCCTAATATCACAGTGGATGTGCACCATGAATGAACACCTTGTGATGTTATTCGTAATATTCTAGGGAGAAATTACTCCTAATATCACAGTGGTGTACACCATGTGTGTATACCGTTTGGTGTTATTCATAATATCCAAGGGAGATATTGCGTCTAATGTCACGGTGGGTGTAAACCATGAGTGTACATTCTGTGATGTTATGCGTAATGTCTTAGAAAGTTATTGTTCCTAATGCCACAGAGGGTGTATACCATGTGTGTACACTCTGTGATGTTATTCATAATATCCTAGGGAGATATTTCTCCTAATATTACAGTGGGTGTACACCTTGTGTGTATGCCCTGTACTATTATTTGTTATATCCTGTGCAGATATTACTCCTAATATCACAGTGGGTGCACACCATGGATGTAAAATCTGTGATGTTATTTGTAATATCCTAGGGAGATATTACTCCTAATGTCATAGTGGGTGTATAGCCTGTGACATTATTTGTAATATCCTAGGGAGGTATTATTCCTATTATCACAGTGGGTGTACACCTTGTGATATTATTCATAATATCCTAGGGAGATATTACTTCTAATATCAGAGTGGGTGTACACCCTGTGATATTATTTGTAATATTCTGAGATATTACTGTATACCCTGTGATATTTTTGTATTATTTTATGGAGATATTTCTTCTAAAGTCACAGTGGGTGTACACCTGGTGATAGTCTTCCTCATATCACAGTGGGTGTACACCATGTGTATTTGTAATATTCTAGGGAGATATTACTCCTAATATTACTGAGAGTGTACACCCTGCAATATTAGTTGTAACATTTTTGGGAGATATTACTTGTAAAGTCACAATGGGTGTACGATATTCTTCCTAATATTTTAGGGAGATGTTACTTCTAATATCACAGTGGGTGTACACCCTGTGATATTCATCATAATATCATATGGATGTATTACTCCTAATATATCACTTAGTAGTGATATTGTTCATAATGTCCAGGAAGAGAGAGAATGATATTACACCCCAATATTGCAGGGGGTGGGGAAGAATGATATTACACACAATATCACATGGGGTGTATACCTCCCCTGTGATATTGTTTCTCATATCCATGGGGTGAGAGGATGATATTACTCCAAATATCGCGGGTGGTGTATACCCTACCTATGATATAGTTCCTAATATCCAAAGGGGGAGAGGAGAATATTACTTTCAATGACACAGGGATTGTACACACCCCCCCTTATATGGTTCCTAATATCCAGTGGTAGAGAGGATATTACTACTCCCAATATCACAAGGCGTGTACATCCCCCCTATGATATTGTTCTTAATATCCATGGGGAGGAGGATGATATTACTTCCAATATCACAGGAGGTGTACAACCCCCATAATATTGCTCGTAATATCCAGGGGGGAGAGGATGATATTATTCCCAATATCGTGGGAGGTGTCCACCCCCTGTGATATGGTTCTTAATATCCTGTAAGGGAGAAGGGGGTGATATTATTCCCCGCATCTCAGGGGGTGTCCACCCCCCTGTGATATGTCATAATATCCAGGGCGGGAGAGGGGGGTGATATTACTCCCCATATTGCAAAGGGTGTCCACCTCTCTGTGATACCATTTGTAATATCCAGGGCGAGAGAGGGGAGTGATATTACTTCCCATATCGCAAGAAGTTTACACCACCCCCTGTGATATTGCTCCTAATATATAGGGAGGGAGAGGATTATATTACTCCCAATATCGGAGGGTGTATGCACCCCCCTGTGATGTTGTTTATAATATCCAGGCAATGAGAGGATGATGTTACTCCCGAAATCGCAGCAGGTGTACTCTACCCCTGTGATGTTGTTCCTAATATCCTTGGGGAAATGGATGATACTACTTTCAATATTGCAGGGGTTGTACACCCCCCTGGGATATTGTTCGTAATAAAAAGGGAGGGAGAGGATGACATTACATTCAATAGCGAGAGGGGTGTACGCCCCGCCCATGTTATTGTTCCTAATATCCAGGTGGGGAGAGGAAGATATTACTCCCAATACTGCACTGGTGTACATTTCCCCTGTGTTATATTTTCTAAAATACAGGGAGGGAGAGGAGAGTATAACCTCCAATTTGGCAGGTAATTTACACCCCCCTTGTAATATTGTTCCTAATATCGAAGAGGGAGATAATATTATCTTAAATATTGCAGAGGGTCTACACCACCTCTGTGATATTATTCCTAATTTCCAGGGGGAGAGAGTATGATATTACTCCCAATATCGTAAAAGTATCCCCCCGCAGCTGTGATATTGTTCCTAACTTCCGGGGAGTGGGGCAAGTATGATATTATTCCCAATATGGCAGTGGGTGTACATTCCCCCTGTGTTATTGTTTCTAATATACGAGAGAGAGAGGATAGTATTTTTCCCAATTTGGCAGGTACTTTACACTGCCCTTGTAATATTGTTCCTAATATTGAGGGGAGGAGACGATAATATTTTCCTAAATATCTCAGGGGATGTACACCACCCCTGTGATATTGTTCCTAATTTCCAGGGGGAGAAAGGATGATATTACTCCCAATATTGTAAAAGTGTACAACCCCCTATGATATTGTTTCAAATATCTAGGGAGGGCAAGTATGATCTTCCTTCCAATCTTGAAGGGGGAATACATCCCCCTGTAATATGGTTCCTAATACCCAGTGGGGGAGAGGATGACATTACTGCCAATATCGCAGAAGGTGTACACCCCTCTGTCATATTGTTCATAATGTTCAAAGGGAAAGATAATATTACTCAAAATATCGTTAATGCCTTGTGTCTGCATCCCCCTGTTATATGGTTTGTAATATCCAGCAGGGGAAAGTGGGGTGATATTGCTCCCCATATTGTGGGGGGTGTCCACCCTTCATGATATGGTTGGTAATATTGGGAGTGGGAGAGGGGGGTAATATTACTCCCTACATCACATCATGGGGGGTGTCCACCCCCCTGTGACATGGTTCCTAACATTTGGGGGGGGTGAAATTACTCCCCCTATCATGGGGGCTGTTTCCCCCCTGTGACACAGCTTGTAATATCCAGGGGGTGGGAGAGTGGGGTGATATTACTCCCCCTATTGTGGGAGATGTTCACCCCCCTGTGACATGGTTCATAACATCCAGGGGGTGAGAGTGGGGTGACATTACTCTCCATATCATAGGGGATTTTTCCCCCACTGTGACATGGTTCATAATATCCAGTTAGGGGAGAGGGGGGTAATATTACTCCCCATATGGCAAAGGGTGTCCACCCCCCATGACATGGTTCATAATATCCAGGGGGGGAGAGGGGTGTGATATTACTCCCCATATCATGGGGGTGTTTACCCCCCTGTGACATGGTTCATAATATCCAGTGGGGGTAAAGGAGGGTGATGTTACTCCCCATATCACGGGGGGTGTCCAACCCCCATGATATGTTTTGTAATATCTAGGGTGGGGAGAGGGGTGTGATATTACTCCCCACATCGTGGGGGGCGTCCACCTCCCTATGACATGGTTTGTAATATCCAGGGGGAGATAGCTGAATTGATCAAGCAGAAGCAAGGATATCAGAGATTGAAGATCAACTTAATGAAATAAAGCAAGAAGACAAGATTAGAGAAAAAAGAATAAAAAGGAACAATCAAAACCTCCAAGAAATATGGGACTATGTGACAAGACCATATCTACGTTTGATTACTTGAAAGTGGCAGGGAGAATGGAACCAAGCTGAAAAACACTCTTCAGGATATTATCCAGGAGAACTTCCCCAACCTAGCAAGACAGGCCAACATTCAAATTCAGGAAATACAGAGAACACCACAAAGATACTCCTCGAGAAGAGCAACCCCAAGACACATAATCGTCAGATTCACCAAGGTTGAAATGAAGGAAAAAATGTTAAGGGCAGCCAGAGAGAAAGGTCAGGTTATCCACAAAGGGAAGCCCATAAGACTAACAGCGAGTCTCTCAGCAGAAAACCTACAAGCCAGAAGACAGCAGGGGCCAATATTCAACATTCTCAAAGAAAAGAATTTCCAATTACAAATTTCATATCCAGCCAAACTAAGCTTCATAAGTGAAGGAG